CTGTACTTGGGATCATTCTACATTTGCACAGTTTGGAGTACGTGCATTAGAGTCTTTCGTGGGAGCTGCGCTGTGTCATCTTGCTCCACCCTCATCCTCCATCTCCATCTCTATCCCAGGCGGAGGACCACACCTGGTGGTTCCACCACACTCTCTGACTCTCTCTCTCTCTCTCTCTCTCTCTCTCTCTCTCTCTCTCTCTCTCTCTCTCTCTCTCTCTCTGTGAACCTCCCATGAGAATGAATCTTACGCGTTATCGAGAAAGCTTCATTCTCGTTGGGCATGTCTGATTTTCCTTTTTTTTTTTTTTTGTAGAATATTGTATGTTTTTTTTTTTTTTTTTTTTTTCCGTGATGTAGTACCGGTTGTCCGAGGCTCAACAATAAAGTCCGAGGCTCGGGAATGATCGGGCTACCGGTATTCTGAGCCTCGGACTTGATAATTGGGCGATGTACTAGTGGTTTGAGGTGGCAACTTGGAACGTGCGAGGCTTGGGCGACACAACCCGCAGGCAAAAGAAGGCGAGGCTGAAAACCTGGATCCACGATAACAAGATTCAAGTTATGCTCATGCAAGAGACCAAATTCGATGAGGGCAAGTTAAGGCAGCAAGGCAACTGGTGGCAGGGCCCACAAATTTGGGGAGGCTGTGCGATACTATTGCACCGCAATCTGGAAACCACAATTTTGGAGCAGGAGACGGACATCTGGGGCCAATAGGCTTGGATAAGGCTGCAGTTGGATACGCAAACGCGGACCGTCATGACTGTCTACATACCTTCCGAATTGCAGGAGGGAAGATCCTTCCTGGAGGAGCTGCCGGCCATTGTCCCACCAGCGGACAACCTAATCCTGGCCGGTGACTTCAATTTAACGCTGACACCTAGACTTAACTCGCCCGACTCTGGCTCCAGAAGGACGGATGCCTCAATGGGGGCAGACTTCATGGAGCAGCAGGACCTGACAGATACATTCAGAACCATGCACTCCTCAGCACCAGGATACACATGGTTCTCCTCGCAGCAAAATGGAAATAGCCCGCCGCTGAAAGGAAGGTTGGACCTACTGCTGGCCAATGGGGCACCTTGGGAGGCAATCACCAGGGTCTACTGCGGCATAAAGAATATTTCCGACCACGGGCACTTTCGAACTGGCAAGGCAGATATGCAGAGCCCCATGTACTTTCAGACTCAACATAGAGCTGTTGAGCTCCCCAGATGTAGGGCCTCGCCACACCACTCTCAAAACGGGGAAATTTTTCAAGAGTTGTCAGCCCTTTTTTTTTTTTTTTTTTTTTTTTTTGGGGGGGAACAAAGCTCCAATCTATTTGTGGGGAGCAACACG